GTTCTGTTCTACGTGATTTACAGACATCAATAAGCACTTATATACAAATATTCTTAAAATTCCCACAAAAAGGAAACTTAACTTCAAACTAAAGGTATTCTTGCAAACAAATTCTAAATCAGAAACATTTTAAGAATCCAAAGTTAAGGTAAATCTTTGGCACATGAGATTATCTTAATAATTTTGGTTTAAAAGAAAGATGTGGGCTGGCCGAGTGGCGCGTTGGTTAGGAGTTGGCTTGGGACGCCAGCTCTGAGCAGCAGGGCCCCGGTTCAGATCCCACATGAGAGAGAGTGACACTGCGCCCTCTACAGCTAAGATGGTGAACAACAGCTCAACCTGGAGCTGGGATGCTGTGAGTCGCCGGTGATGGCGTAGGCTGCAGCGGGGCTGCAGTGGGCTGCCATAAGCTACCGTGAGCGGCCGGCAGCTGGCATGAGCTGCCATGAGTTGCCATGGCCGTCCAGTGGCCCGCGACCGACTGCTTCACCCGGGAAGAGCACAATGATAATACCAACATGGGCCAGTGAAGCAATGTCCTCCACCACTAGACTGAAGAAGAAAAGGAAAGCAACTTGTTTGTTCCCCTCCCTCAATTCCCCAATAAAATAAAATAAAATAAAATAAAAATTAAAACAAAAAGAAAGATGTATCTTTTTTGGTGATTTATTTGTGTAAAGTATAAAATAAACATACATTTTATTTTACTTGGGTCTGTTTTTCATAAATTTATACAGATTTGCTGATTAAATGATGGTATATATTACTCATGTATAACATTTAAGATTATGAAAAATGTACATTGCATTCAACTAAAATTAAATCATTGCTGATAAATTTTTTATTTCAGCAGTAACTGTTTCGTAGTATGTTAGATTTAAGATGATTTCCAAGACATTTAGTTAATTTAAAATGTTGGATTGATATTAAATTAGTAATCACTGATACTAATATAACTTTTAAGTAAAAAAGAATACTTAAACATTTATTACTAAGCATAGCTTTAAGTTTATATACTCTTGCTTCCTATTTTTATATGCTATAGGGAGACAATATCTTTGAGGCATGTTAATGGATGTGCTCATTTTTCCTCTTTAAAAGGTATGAGTGTGGCCATAGAAAGCTGTATTATTTGTGTTCATGAACTCTGCTAGCCCGCTATAATGCATATGGGTGAGATACAGTTCTCAATTACACCCATGTTTTCTCTGTGAAATAGAAATTATTTTGGTTAAAAGTTACAATTAAAACAGAGACCAAAGGGATGGTTACCAGGAAGGAGGAGGTGGGTGGACGGGTAAAAACGGGAAGGGGAATATAGTCAATAATATTGTGGTAAGTTTGCACAGTGACAGATGGTAACTAGAATTAGTGGGGTGATCACATTGTAAGGTATAAAAATGTCAAATCACTATATTGTACACCTGAAACTAATATAGCCAATATAAGATTGTATACCAACTATATTTACATAAAAATAAATTTATAAAAAACAAGTGGTTGAAATTATATTATGAGAAATAGTGACAAATGGATATGTGATTTTGTTTTTAAAGGAAAATGTAGTTTATTCCTAAAGCAGTGGTTCTCAAACTTTCTGTTCTTAGGATCCCTTTGCACTCTGAAAAAAATTATCAAGGACTTCCAAAGAGATTTTTCATAGGTAGGGTATAACTATTGATGTTTATCATATAATTAAAACAGAAAATTTAAATATATGTACTGATTGAATTAATTTGAGATGAACCCACTGTATAGCATCAATTTTTAAAAAACACTTTAAAAATTGAGATTATGTCACATTTTTGAAAAGTTCCTTAATGCCAGACTTACTAGAAATAGCTAGATTCTCATATCTGCTTCTGTATTCAATATATTACAACATCACACACATCATGCAACCACTAGAAAACTATATATGTTAGTATTATTATGAAAATAGTTTTGACCTGACAGATCCCCTAAAAGGTTGTCAGTTTGTTCCGGATATAAAAGAGCATAATGAAGGACAAACTTGGAAGATAAATTTTATTTGCCTTGGTTTAAACTAGAGTCTGAAATAAAGCTCTGTAATGCATCAAAATGTAGCAAAGTTATCTTGAATTTGATGGGCTTTCTTCTTTAGTTTACTGGTTAATGCCTTTACTTCCAATATGAAAAGCTATTCTTTAGCTCCTATGTAATCTGCCTAGATAGTAGATTCTGTATTTTATCAGAATAATTTTCTAATCCTTATGTTGTCTTTATATCTTTATTCTTGATTATTTAATGGCAAGCAAACATAAAACAATTTGCTAATTTATCAAAGAGCTAAAGTTCTTTAGAACTGTTACCTCTTATGCTTATTTTAAAATGTTTTCTTGTCATTTTGCTTAGATAGATAACCAAGTAGTACTGTTTCTCAGGCACCCATGATCTTGTTTTAATCACCTCTAACTGTTTGAGTCTGCCTTGCAAAAAGTCACACCCCAAATATAGAACATAAAATAAAGTTTTCAGCTTATCTTTTAAGCTTATAATTATCTTTGAGATTTACAAAAAGGGTTTTGGAAAACTGCAAAGATTTATTCTTTCTCCTCATAGAAAAATATAAAAAGTAACTAAGTTTATTCATCAAATGAACTGGAAAATCTCAAATATGTGGAAATTAAACACACTCTTAAACAACTCATGGATCAAAGAAAAAAATCACAAGAGAAATTAGAAAACACATAAAGATGAATGAAAACAAAAACAACATATCAAAACTTATGGGATACAGTGAAGGTAGCACTTAAGAGGGAAATTTATGAGTATAATGACATGTATCCACCATTACATTGGGTTGTCGGAAAAGTCATGACGCATTTTTGCAACGAAAAACAGAAAAGATACGTCATGACTTTTCTGACAACCCAATAGTATCATACAGAATAGTCTCACTGCCCTAAAAATTCTATGTTCTATCTATCCATCCCTCCCTCCTCAAATAACCCATGGCAAGTGGTGATCCTTTTATTGTCTCTATAGTTTTGTCTTTACTTGAACGTCATATAGTCAGAATCATTCAGTATGCAGCCTTTTCAGATTGGCTTCTTTCACTTAGTAATATGCATTTAAGTTTCCTCCATGTCTTTTCATGTTTTAATAACTCATTTCTTCTTAGCTCTGAATAATATTTCATCGTTTGTCATACCACAGTTTATATATTCATTCATCTACTGAAAGATATCTTGGTTGCTTTCAAGTTTTAGCAATTTGAATAAAGCTGCTGTAAACATCCATGTTGTAGGTCTCTGCCTGGACATGAGTTTTCATTTCATTTGGGTAAATACCAAAAAGGACGGTTGCTGGATTGTATGGTAAGATTATTCTTAGTTTAGCAAGAAACTGACAAACTGTCTTCCAAAGTGGCTGTAATACTTTACATTCCCACCAGTAATGAATGAGACTTCCTGCTGCTTCACATACTAGCCAGCATTTGTTATCGTCAGTGTTTTAGATTTTTGCCATACTATTGTAATAAGTGTGGTCATTTCTCATTGTTGTTTTATTTTGCAGTTCCCTAATGACATAGATAAATGGACCATAGAGATACACACATATCTAAATATATAGAGTTTAGCGGTGTTCCTACAAAGAAGAAATGGATTTTTCAGTAGACAGCTAGCATTTTGACATACTTTTAAAATAAAAGTCATTGAAGCTATATGCATTTCACTCTAAGTACTAATTTAGCACTTTAGATTCAGTTATGAGGAATTTTCATTATCATTATTTTCTAGATAGTCTGTAGTTTCCCTTTTTAAATTTCCAAGTGGTAATGGGTTTTGTTTCTTGATTCCATTATTAATTTCTAGTGTTATTGCACTGTGATCAGGTAAGGTCATCTGTTTTTATTTATGTGTCTTGGAATTTAAGTTATCCTTGTGATCAATTTTGTAAATGTGCAAAGGTCACATGAAAAGAAGATGAGTTTTCTATATTCAGGCAATACAGTATATTTCTATTAAATCTTCTATACTAAGTATCTTATTTAGGTATCTTCTAGCCTTTCTTTTTGATGTTTTTATTCCTTAAACCCTAATCAAAGATTAAAAGAGGTGAATGAAATTTTATGTGTTTATGTTCTTCCTTATAATTCCTATAGCTTGATACCAAAAATCCAAAGCTATCACACAAACACAAGCAGAAAATGACAGACCAATAATTGAGAATTATTAGGAAACCAAGTTCATCAATATTTTAAAAATAGTAACACACTGACCAAATAAGGTTTATTCCAGAAATGCAAAGATGACTGAATTTTAGTACAGCTATTATTATAACTCAATATATTAATACATCAAAAGAGAGAAACCATGATTATCTCTGTAGACTCTGAAAAGGCATATAATTCAATTCAATATCTGTTGATTTTTTAAAATTCTAACTATAACAGCAACAAATAGATAAAATATAAAAAAATCTACTCTATAAGGTGTGCAAATGTCTGTTTTGTATACCTGAAATTTAAAAAAATAAACAAACAAAACAGAAACAAGGTCATTTTAAAAAGTCTGTCTAAACCTAAAAGCCAATACCATCCTTAACAAGGAAACAGTAGCAAGATACTATATAACTACCAAAAGTTTACTACTTTGATTATTTCATAACAAAATGCTAGCAGTATCTGATATCATGTTTGTGGCTTGAAAAACTATCGTACCCTATGCTCAGTGTTACAGGTTGATTAAATTAGACATTAAATCTAGTGGCCTAAGAGCAACAATGTCATATTGAACAATAATGATCATAATTTTATAATCAATACTATACTTCCATAGAAAGCAAGGTGAAAAATATTATTACTCCAAGCAGTGTGTCATGGAGTCAAAATATAGCCCTCCAATGGGGAAAAATTAGTTCTTAAAGAATCATTTGACTAGTTACCAAATACTGCAGTGGAACACATTTCTGGGTTATTCAGATTTCAAACACCATTCATAACTGCATTACCAAACTCCCAGTTCCCACTGTACCTGTTTCTTTCAGGATATTCCAGATTTTTCTGCATTCATGGATCTGCTCAAGTGCACGATTCAGTAACATGGTCTATTGGGCAATAATGTAACAAAAAATTAGTCTCAAGCAAACAAAACTTTAAACAAATTAAAATAACTTTGATATCATTTTCATTAAGCACAATGAAAAATAAAGTGACAGAAAAATTATAGCTTAAACTGAACGTTTTGGGATTTATCTAGAAATATTAGCCTGTATTTGTACTTTTCCTTAATGTCCTGGGAAAAATGAAGATTAAATAGAAAATATGAACATTATTCATTTCTTTAATAATCTAAGACAGAAGAGAAGTGCTTCCAGAATGGTGGTATGAGAAACTACAATGAACCCTTTCCCAGTAAAACAACCATAACCGAAAATTATGGTGAAAATTATAAAACAAAACCATGTAAAGTCTCAGGAAATTGCCCTAAGGGCATACAGCAAATCTATTCCAAGAAATCTACTAAGTCTCAGAACAGTGGGCATCAGTGGCAATTGAACTTCGATCTGCTCACCAACCACCCCCCCCCACCCAGCTCAGTGTGATGGAAGCGCCATCTTAGGTGGGTGTGGCCAAAAAGATGGCGCTCCCTCTACCATCAGCTTCCAGGCTAGGGATTCTCAGAGGGAGCAGGCTGCCAGCACTTGTCCTTTTCCCCAACCCCACGTCTGTATTGCAGAAGCTCTATTATAAACAAGCATAACTGGGAGGACTGGAGCTGTCTTCCTCAACTAAGTACCCACTCCATCCCAGGCATGGCAAAATGACAATACTAGGTCTCAACTGCCCTCACCTCAGTTTGCTTACAGGATTGGGTTTCCATGCTGGGAGAGATAAGCCAAGAATGCCAGGGACTGACTCCTGCCCACCCCCACTCATAGAGCTGGATTGTTACTCTGATAGAAATGGGCCACTGTCCCTGCCTCCAGCAACAAAACAAGGGATACAGAGTTTCTGCTCAGGAGGAGGCAAGCCATTAGAAAAGTGAACTTTGTAGCTCTCCCTAAAAGGACTGACTTTAATTGGAACAGAGCATGGCAAAGTTCAAGTCTAAGGGCACACAGAGATCTTAGTGTTGAGCAACTAAGAGGACACTGGTAGATCAGTATCACTAAGCAAAACAGTAGACCAGCTGGAAGTTTACAGAGAGAACCAGTGGAAGATAAAGTTAAGGAGATCCCTTCCCCTTCAAAGGGGCTTTACTTTAATTGTCAGACTGTGGAGCAATTTATGCCAAAGAGCATTTTCAATCAATCTCAATCAATCTCAATCAATCTCTCCCTCTCCTCCTCCCCCTCCCCCTCTGACCACAGTGGAATAAGATCAGGAATCAATAAGAGAATAAAATTTGGGAAATTCACAAATACGTGGACATTAAACAACATATTCTTAAATAAACAATGGGTCAGAAAAGAAATCACAATGAAAATTAGAAAATACTTCTGAGATGAATAAAAACACAATATCCCCAAACTTATGGGATGCTGCTTAAACAGTGTGTTAGAGTCTGAATGTGTCCCACCCAAATTCCTATGTTAAACTCCTAACCCCAAAGGTGAATGTATTAGGAGGTGGGGTCTTTGGGAGGTGCTCAAGTCATGAGGGTGAAGCCCTCATGAGTGGGATTTGTGACTTTTGTAAGAGCTCCCTAGCCCTTTCCACCACGTGAAGACACAGCAAGAAGGTGCTGGTAGTGAACCAGGAAGAGGGCCCTCACTAAAGAATGCACAACCATTGTTCACTGGCACCTTCATCGTGGACTTCTAGCCTCCAAAACTGTGAGAAATAAATTTCTGTTGTTTATAAGCCATGCAGTCTATGGTGTTTTGTTATAGCAGCCACATCAGACTAAGACAGAAAATCGGTACTGGGGGTGGGGGGTGAGGTTGCTGTAACAAATACTTAAATATATGGAAGCAGCTTTGGAATTGGGTAATGGGTGGAGTCTGGAAGAGTCTGCGGTGGACGCTAGAAGATGTCTACTCTGCTGAATGGACTGTTAAGGGCAGTTGTGAGGACCAAGAGAAAGGAAAGCGGTAGAGAAAGCCTCAGTCTTCTTAGAGACTGCCTAAGTGGTTGTGAACAGAATGTTGGGAGAAATATGGACAGTACAGGTCATTCTGATGTGCTCTCAGATGGAAATGAGGAACACTGGAAACTGGAGAAAGGCCACATTTTTGTTATGAAATGGCAAAAAAGCTTCGCTGAATTGTGTTTGTGTCCTAGTGTTTTATAGAAGATAGTAATTTCTAAGCAGAATGTTGAAACATCAGCCTGGTTTCTCTTGAATTCTTATAGAAAAAGGTGAGAAAATATTAATGCTTTAAAGGTGGAATTGTTAATCACAAAGGAAGAAGAATTTTAAAACTGTGAAAATTCTCAGCATATCAATATGGAAAGGAGAACGCCTGTTGGGGAGTGAATATCAAGGGTTTGGCTGATTTTGATAAGGAGATTGCTGTGGACCCATATCTCAACAGAAGTTAAGAGTTATTAACCAAGACAATGCACATATTAGTTAGACAACTAAACAGAAGCCAGGACTACTGACCAAGGCAATGAAAGAGTAACTCTGAAAGCCTTTCAGAGATCTTTGGGGCTGGTCCTCCCATCACAGGCCCAGTGTGCAAGGGCTAGTAGGGCAGAACCATTTCAAAGGAGGCTCCAGGGAGGTCCCAAGGCCTTTCCATCATGTAAGGACACAGCAAGAAGGTGCCAGCTGTGAATCAAGATGAGGGCCCTTGCTCAAGAATGCGACCATGATGGTACCTTGATCTAGGACTTCCAACCTGCAGAACTGTGAAAAATAAATTCCTGTTGTTTATAAGCTAACTACTCTGTGGTATTTAGTTATACTATCTCAAACAGACTAAGACACATTGCTTAGAGAGAGAATTTATAGCTGTAAAAGTTGATACTACAAAACAGATATCTCAAATCAATAACCAAACTTCCACCTTAAGAAACTGGAAAAAGGGCCAGCCGAGTGGTGCGTTGGTTAAGAGCTGGCTTGGGACGCCAGAGGGCCCCGGTTCGGATCCCACATATAAGGGCCAGTGACACTGCCCTTTACAGCTAAGATGCTGAACAACAGCTCAACCTGGAGCTGGGCTGCCGTGAGTTGCCGGCGACGGTGTAGGCTGCAGCCACTGCAGCAATGGGTTGCCATGGGCTACCGTGTGTAGCCAGCAGCCAGCATGAGCGGCCAGCAGCCGCCAAGAGCGGCCATCCAGAAGCCGGCGACTGATCTGCCTCGCCTGGGAAGAGCGCAATGATGGTGCCAACTTGGGCCAGTGAAGCAATGTCCTCCACAACTAGACTGAAGAACAAAAGGGCAGCAACTTGTCTGTTCCCGTTCCCCCAATTCCCCAGCGCTGTTCCCATCCCCCAATTCCCCAATAAAAATCTTTAAAAAAAAAGTATCTAGAAAAAGAGCAAACTAAATCTTAAGCAACCAGAAGGAAGAAAATAATAAAGATTAGAGTGGGACTTAATGAAAGAGAGACTGGAAACATAATAGAATAAAAATGAAACCATAAGCTGGTTCTTGATAAAGATCAACAAAATTGATAACCCTATATAAAAACTAACCAAGAAAAAAAAAGAGAGAAGACACAAATGACTAAAATTAGGAGTAAAAGAGGGGCCATCATTAAGACCTTCCAAAAATAAAAAGGATGATAAAGGAATGCTATGAACAACTGTAAACCAACAAATTAGGTAACTTGGATTGTAATAGACACATTTCTAGAAACATAAACCACTGAAACTGACTCAAAAAGAAATAGAAAATCTGAATAGACTACATAAAAGAAGTAAAAAATTCTTACTCTGGAAACTACAAAACATTGTTAAAAGAAATTAAAGAATAGAATAGAAATATATATTGAAATATATTCCATTTTCATGGGTTAGAAGACATAATATTGTTAAGATTACAATAAATAATCTCCAAACTGATCTGCAGGTTCAGCATAATCCTAATAAAAATCCCAGCTGGCTTCTTTGCAGAAACTGACAAATCAATCCTAACATTTATATGATAATAGAGGGGAACAAGAATAGCCAAAAGAATCTTGAAAAAGAAGAATAAAGTTGAAGGACTAATACGTCACTACTTCAAAACTTATTACAAAGCTACAAAAAAATCAAAACAGTGTGTTATTGCCATAAGGATAGACATAGACATCAATGAAACAGAACTGAGGTTCTAGAAATAAACCTTCTTATTTATGGTCAATTGATTTTCAACAAGGTGCCAACACAATTCAATGGGAAAAAAAAAAAGTTTTCAACAAATGGTCCCAAGACAGGTGGATTTTCAAATGCAAAAGAATAACATTCAACTCCCATTTGACACCACACACAAAAATTAGCTCAACATGGATCACAGACCTAATGTAAGAGCTAAAAATAAGTCTGTTCAAATAATCTGGGACAGGGGTCAGGATACTCTTCTGTAAAAGGTCAGACAGTAAATATCTTAGGCTTTGCCAACCACATAAACTCTCTTTCACATGTTTTTTCTTTATTTTAATTTATAACCTTTTACAAATGTAAAAACCATTTTTAACTCTCAGGGTATAGAAAAACAGGCCATGGACTTATTTTGGCCAGCTAGCAGTAGTTTGTTCATCCCTGTTCTAGGAAAAAGTTGTGGTCCCTTGATAAATTACAATTACTTTATTTTTTAAAGAATCCCTCACTTCCTCCTGACTCATACTCAGGAGAGTAGAGACAATTTTGACAGGATTACGCAGTCTATCTGTGGTCCTTCATCATCTACCTATTTGGAAATACTCCAATTTATGAGGATTTAGAGAACAAGGAACAGATGTATTTAAAAGAATTCAATAAATCCTCATTAGAGAGACAGAACATGATTCATAGGGACAAGACTTAGATGGTAAAAGGCAGAAGTACATCTATAATTATCTAAATAGATATCCTTTCAAAAGCAAAGAAGATTATAGAAGGGCTACTAGGTTAGAGCGTTCTTCAGAAACATAAAGGTGTGCAAGAGAAAGAACACAGAAAAAAAAGAACAGTTGTTCGAAACAAAATAATTTAGGACTGTACTTAAGAGTTGGAGAAATTTCCCTCAATTTGGTCTCTATTCACTGAGATACAAATTTTAACAAAGTCAGGACTGCCAACTTAAAGGGAAAACTCTTGAAAAGTTAAAAGCACTATGCAAAACCAAGATGTTAATATTTTTTAGTAAGGCAAAAAACTCTACTGAGAATAAAATTACATTTGCCCTTACTTGTTAAGAAGCTAAATGGTTGATCCTGGTTTTGCTCTGGGGCACATAGATTATTTTCTCATCTTTTACAATGCAAAGGTTTCTAAAAAGAGTCCCCTGTACTCCCGGAGGTAAGGACTTTGTCTTCTTTATCCCCAGTGCTTAGCACAGTGCTTGGCACTCAAAAGGTTTTTGAGTTGAACTCAGCATGGGAAGAGAAACGAAGGAAAATGTGTTGGCACAGAGCTGTGAGAGTCTGTTCCAGATCTAAGAAATCACATGAAAGAAGAGATGAACAGAAGGAAGAGAAGACACAGCAAGAAGGATTTGATATGAATTGGAAAGTAAAGAAGCTGGCAAGTATAGGAAATTCGGAAGGCTTTTTTTTTTTTTGGTTTAGATAACAGGAAAAAGTAGAGAGGTCTAAATCTTAAAATCACCAAAAAATGCTAGTGGTCCAACCTGGAGACAATTTTCTTGGCTTGAAAGAAGGAATGTAAAGAACAAAAAGCTAAGCAACACGCTGGTGTATGGGACACTGGGATGGTGATGTTCGTATCTCCCCAAAGGGGTGGGGTTTAAGAAGCTGAGAGTGGAATTCAGTGAAAAGTGGAAACTCCATCTCCTGGTTGCTAAAATTGAGTTAATGATAAAATACTTAAGGATGTGGGCCAAAGAAAGCAAATACAATTGAGAGAAGCAGCACAAACCACATAAATAAGGTCATATGGCTATCAAAGCTGTGGCTTCCTAGAGAATGTGTGAAAGGAAACCAAAGAGAAAAACTCCTGTGGACCACATATGATCATACAGAGACGATGAAGATAAAGAATATTTAAAAGCAGATTTGGAAAAAGTGGTCCATGGGAAGGACATTTTCAAAGAAGAGATGTCAAAATTGTTAAAAGAAGAGGCGAAGCCACATGACCTTTCCTCAGGAAAGAACTGGCCATTACAAACTTTTGAAATGAAGATGCTGCCAGAAGGGAGGAAATGATTCTGTAAATAGAGTAAAAAAGAAGCGCATCAGGGAAGGCAAACACACCAAACAGCACACTGAACTCTTGTCTTTTATTTGAAGGTTGCATATTACCTGTTCAAAAGGTGTTGAAGCTCTTCTCCCTTGCTCTAGATCCAGTGAAGATGCCATCAGTAAACATGTTTTCTGTGAAGTCAGAATGACTTCATCCCAAGGACAAAGCTGGGACAGCTGATAAGAAATAACCAGAACGTCAATGAATAGTGAGAATTCTGCCAGGTGAACACAAACAATCAGAATGAAAATCAGCAACATTCTGTCTGAACGGGAAAATTCAGCTGGAAAAGCACATCTCACCTTAAAAATTATATAGACTACAACACTGATCTGCGGTTTTAAATTTATATTACTTTCCATTGTTTTTCAGCACCTTTCTGGAGATAAAATGCTTCATTTCTTCACAATTTTCCTACCTTTCCCAGTGACAAGTGCTGTCATTTGGCTCTGCATTTCTATCTAGTTATCTCCTTGGCTTATGTTGTAATTTCTAAATGTTTTTTCCCCTTTGCATTAAATAGAGCCGAAATGAGTACATATATTGTCATGGTTGAAAGAGACAATGTCACATCTTGACAGGCATTAGGCATAACCTCACCATTAAAACATGTCCTCTAGCTTTCGAAAAGAACTCCCTGCTTTGTACTAAAAGAAAACTCTAAGCTACTTGGGATTCTTACATGGAATCCTACTAGTGCTACCACAAATGTCAAAACTAAAGCTAATCCATTTGACCTAATTAAAGTGGCAATTATACCTAAACTTCCACAGATTATTTCTTTTTTTTTTTTTAAAGATTTTTATTGGGGAATTGGGGGAAAGGGAACAGACGATTTGCTGTTGTTTTGTTCTTCAGTCTAGTTGTGGAGGACGTTGCTTCACTGGCCCAAGTTGGCACCATCATTGCGCTCTTCCCAGGCGAGGCAGATCAGTCGCCGGCTTCTGGACGGCTGCTCACGGCGGCTGCTGGCCACTCATGCTGGCTGCTGGCTACACAGAGTAGCCCATGGCAACCCACTGCCACAAGGGCTGCAGCCTATGCCGTCGCCAGAGACTCATGGCAGCCCAGCTCCAGGTTGAGCTGTTGTTCAGCATCTTAGCTGTGGAGGGCAGTGTTACTGGCTCTCATATGTGGGATCCGAACCGGGGCCCTCTGGTGTCCCAAACCAGTTCTTAACCATCGCGCCACTCGGCCGGCCCCCACAGATTATTTCTTAACCTCCCCAAATGTTTAGTGATCGGAACCATCACCATCACTGAATTAACAGCTTTTCAAGACAACCAATGTCTCTAGGTCTCAGGTTACTTGTACGTAAGACAGAAACGCTGTGCTCAATTATCTCTATAGTTCTTTCCAGTTGTAGAACCCTTAACATTTAATCTATCTCAACCGATCAGACTGTAGAGCGATATTCCTCAGCCCCTCTGCTTTTCTTCTCTCTTCAATACTTGTTCTTCTTCCTGGCATTTAACCTCTACCTTGGAGGCTAACAACGACTTAAAAATGCTTATAATTGCTAAACAAGCTCACACATCTTACTCACAGAGCCTGCTGCAGGAAAAATTATAAAGGAGGCCCAAACTTCTTAGCATCCTTTTTACCCCATTGTCCCCAGATACCTATTCTCTATTAACATGAACTTGTAACCATACCTCTTCCTAATGTTTTCATAATGACAACTTCTTAGAGTATTCCCTTCCTAAAGATAGTTATATTTTAATATAGGCCCCCAGGAGGCTGAAACTCCTTCCAAGGCAAAGGACTAAGTCTCTAACGGTAGAGCTTCAGGCTCCATAATCGTTGTTGGTGACATTTTGGTACGGGGATGCCTGCCTCATGTTCTCACATTCTACCCTGTAGGGATCAAATGCTCCTCAGGTCATTGTGGTCTACACACGAGACACTTACCTTGTAAGAAAGCATGAAAAACTCTCTCATTCTCGCTGGGTCTTTGGAACATTGCACAGCCAAGTTCCAAGCTGAAAGTTAATGTGAAACAATAGTTATGAAAATCTACGGTTTAATCTGCCATTATAATCTCTATACCTACATCTTTAATGTTAATATACTAATGAGGGGCTTCTCAGAGGTTAAAAAAGCTAACTTTAGATTTTTAGAGAAATTTTTTACAGGTAAAATTAGAGACTTCTATCACTTTCAATCTTCAACTCTAGGCCAATGACCAGTGGAAGTAGTAGTGCTGATTAAAACAAAACAAAAACACCAAAAAACTGGGGGACATACAATAAACTCTTAGCACAGATGCATTTGAAAAATGAGGATCACCAAGGAGCTCACCAACTGGAATTGTGTTAAAATTTAACAAAGAACATGGTACACTACAATCAAAGATTGAAGAAAACTGCTGGAAAGATTTACATATTCCATAGAGCAGTGGGACCCCCCATTAGGCAACATTCAGCATGACCTTCACCTTGGAAATCAACATTAAATTTCAGTAAAAGAAGTACTAGAAAATAACTTTTCAAACTTCCAAAAGTAAAAGTCATTAAACCTTTTCTGTAGTCTAAGTGTTTGCTGTTCTACATGATTTGCCTAAGTTTCTCAGAAGCCAGATTGCTGTATCCATTCCCTTTTCTCCAACATTAGATCATTACCAGAAACCCAGAAGCAATCCCATCAACACTCTTTAAAAGTCCAACCCCCTTCCAGGGTAGCCACTATCCTGAGTTCTAACATCATAAATTAGTTTTGCCTGTTGTCATATTTTTTACTATATATACATTGAATCATACAATATGTACTCAAATGTCTGGTTACTTTTGTTGAACACCATGTTTGTGAGATTCATCCATATGTTGCATGGAGTTTATTTTTGATGAATCACACTTAGAGATAAATTGGGCATTATAGACCAAGTTTAGGAGTATAACCTTGGGGACCTGCAGCTATAATTCATCACTGTATTCTTAAGCCCATTTCTATAGAAAAGAAAGAAAACTAATCTGTATTGAATACCTACTATGTCTCAGGTACATACACTGTTTCTTTTACAACCCTTAGTAATCCTATGAAGTATATATTAATTGTTTTCATTATTAAAATAATTACCCTCTTCAGTCTCATAAAATAATTACCCTGAGATTAAGCGAGTTATCCTTGTACCCACAGATACTAGAATTGGAATCCACCTCTGTTGATTCTACCACCCCACAGTGTCTCCCACAGAATTCCCTTTTACCTATTTTTCGAAACCAATGAGCTTCATTAATCATGGAGTCTGAAGTCAGGGGTAGTCCATGAAAACACTCAGTAAATTTCAGGAGTACTGCATGAAATAGGAAAATTTGATATTGAGGTCTTTAACTTTATACTTTAGCAAAGTTGTTAATCCTGCTTTAAAAACAGTCGAACATGAGCTTGAATTTAGAAAGTTCTTTTGTGTGTGTATGTGCATGTGTGCACACCAAAAGTAATTACAATGACACAAAGCATTACCAAGCCCCAAGAACATTTTAACTCAAACCTTGATGAACAAACATGTCTTTGGAGAGATTTCAATTTTAATTAGAGCAATCATTCAACACCTAAGGTAGAAAGATATGATTTACATATAAGGAAACAATCAAAATAATCTTATTAAAAAAATGAAATGGAGACATAATTCAAGAGTATGGCTAGGTTGGCTATGGATAGTATGAATAATATTTACTGAGCTCCCATAGCAAGCACAGTACAGAACCAAAAGGTGATGTCATCAGAAATCATTTACTACGTACCACGTGCCCTTCTGTGAGATAAGAATGACAACCAGCAACGTTTTTCTCTTTTGAAAAGCTTTCATTTCTAAACCACTTTGTTACATTTAACAAATGTTGACAGGTATTTGAGGTATAAAACTGAACTACTGCAATAAATGGGACATAAGGAAATAAGTGTGAGCAGCAGAAATGGGAAAACCTGTTAGGCAAAAGGGACATCATTTCAGAGAGCACGGAGTTGGTAAAGGAATGCAGGGGATGGGGAGGAATTATTTATTAGTAGACAGGGAGGATGACACAGACTTGGGTAGATAGATGGATAACTTCAAAATAACAGAGTAAACAATCTGATTTGATTCAGAGGACATGACAATTAGCAGGGCTCAGAACATTTTTATTTGCCTTTCACCTGTTCAAGTCCTAGCTTAGGACCAAGTGGCAATAAGGGAGGGAGGAAATGTCTTTAAAACAAATTGGGGAAAAATGGAATAAAATCAGAGCTGAAATCACATTTGGAGATGAATGCTAGTGATGAAAAATTTCTCTGGGCTTGTAAATAAAGAAACCAAGGTAGACTGCTGTGACAAATGTTAACAAAAGCATGAAGCTTATCTCAAACGTGAAGTCTGACTCATTGTACTCAATGTACTTGAAGAATTCAATAGAGGACAGAGGCAAGATGGACTAAAAATGACCAACGAGATATTTACCTGTACTCAAGCAAGTTAGAAGTCTATCCATTTCTTTCGCTCTAAAAAAAAAAAAAAAGAACAGAGTGTTTTCCTACGGTTCCAAAACTTTACTACAAAGAAGTGCCACAAGGAGACCCTACCTGTGCCTGAGAGCTGTGCAAAAAATGTAAAGTTGTGAAGTTTGGTGGTCAAGACTCCAACCTATCACCTCAACACTGTTTCCCCATCTAGGGTACCATTCCTCATGCCCTCACATTTTTTCCCTTGTCCCCTTCTACACCTACTCTCAGCAAAGCATTATAATGATTGATACGGTTTTATATAACAGGGTCATAAGATTTAAGAGCAAGTAGTGATCTGATTTTCAAGCTTCTTTTTGAAGAGGGGAAATTAAAACTCTTGTTTCAAACAAAATTGTATAAAGTCTAATATGCAAGAAAAAAGTGTAGCTGTTCTGGTTGAACTGGTGGTGGGTAGAGGCCTAGAGCCTCATCATCCTCAAAGTCCCTGAGGCAGTGACACAGAATTTCCAGGGTTCTGAGGAATACAGTTTAAAAACCACTTATCCAGTCCAGAATCTTCATTTCACAGATGAGAAAGCAGATATGGAAATTAGGGGATGATTTGTCTCAAAGTCATGCAAATAATGACACTTTCAAGACTATTACCCAGGTCTCTTGACCCTTTGTCAAGCTTCTTTAAGGGGTATATAAATTTTAACAGAGGAAAACATCCCATTTTACTTAAACAAAGGAATGAATGTGGAAGTATTGGCAAACTCAACTAAGGAAGGTTACAGGAAGTAGGGAAGAGCATACTGTAAGAGTGGCCTTATCAGGAGATGGTCTAATATTATATAATAAACACTGTGCTTCAACAAATGTAGCAGCTTTCTCGGGCATAAATATTAGAATTCTGGTTTATATAAAGTAACTTCTTAGAATAAATTTTATTAATTTGAATTTCAGCTGAGCTTAAATTAACCTATAGTGCTCCTGTTAACCTATAGTGCTAATAAGAATGAGGATATGAATAGGGGATGCATAGTTTATTTAAAAGACAACGTGCTTTTAAAATTTTAGCACACAAGTTGTTAATACTAGGGTAGATACTGCTAATTAAAAACCACAGTATTTTTAGAAGACAAAGGGAACTTTAGGAATTATCCAGTCCGGCTTTTTTTATTTAGCAGATGAAGAAAATAAAGCTTAGAGAAGTTCAGTAAGTTATCATTGCCTAAGGTATACCAGAAATTAGTGAAATAGCTAAAATTAGAGCTCGTTCTCTGTCTCTTCCCATTGAATTCGGCTTTTTAAAAACAAGTTAGTCTAATCAATTTGTTAAATCAGGTCCTGACCTCTACCAGAATACACTGCTAGCAGATGTTCTTTTTTGCTATATTTACTTGAAAACAATAACGGTACATTTAAAAAATATTCTGTACTTTAAGTGTATCATTAATTCAAACAGCATCCCTTTCCTTTTCCCCATCTCCAGATTAGTTTTAATGAGTGGGCTTTGACTGTACTTCAAAATTATTGGGTTGTCGGAAAAGTCATGATGTATTTTTTCTATGTTTTTCGTTGCAAAAATGCATCATGACTTTTCCGACAACCCAATACATGGACTATGAAATGAAGCACCTTGTAAATCCAGCGACAAAGATATTCCTGCAAAGAACTGATATTCAGTCATTTAAATAAATTGAGTGGCTATTATGTGTCAGATACTATCTGAGGTTCCAGCCCAGAAAGATAAATACAAGTGCCCCCTGAAGGCTAAGACTGTTTGTATTTATCTTCGCAAAAGCCAAGTAAAGATCCACAAAAAGCAGTCTTTGTCCAAGTAGAGAACGTAGAGATGGGTAAGATTTCTCTGAGTGTTATCCCTAATCAAGGCCTCAAATAGAATTTTCTTTCAAATCATTAGGAGGTAGTGAATTTGGGGAGTGAAAAAAATGGTGACCCAATTCTTCCACAAATTATTAAGTTCTTGGTATCTTATGCCATAGAAAACTGTGAGCAGAAAGATATTTGAATACTCTCAGCTGAGCTGATACAGAATCAGAGTCAACAAGCCAACCAGGTAATATGTTTCTGTGGGAAAGTTTAAGGGACAGGTCTATATTTAAGTCTCCTGTTAAGAAAGAAGGAAACAGATGCAATATCATAATGAAATCATAGCTGACATTGTTGAGGGCTTAGTAAGCGGCTGGCACTCTTCTTCTAAGTGTTTCACATGTATTTACTTATCAAGTCATCACAGTAACCCTGTAAGGTAGATGCTATTATTATTCCCATTGTACAGATGGGGAAACTGAAGTCCAGGTTACACAACTAATACCGTATTTCCCCATGTATAAGACGCACCCTTTTTTGAAAACTATGGGGGTCTAAAAACTGGGTGCATCTTATACAGTGGTCATAGTTTTTTTTTTACTTGCATTTCCCGCTTTTTCACGCTTGTTGTCTTTGCGCTCATTATTTCGCACTTGTTACCGGTATATTAGATTATGTTTTGCCACATTCTGCCCAGAAATGGCTCGTACAGTGCTGAATTCAAGTTAAAAGTGATCCAGTTTGCAAAAGTGAATGGAAATCATGCTGCTGAACGTAAGTTTGGTCCTCCTCCAACTGAGAAAACAATCCAAGACTGGCTACGGGAAGAAGAAACCCTACTGAAAACACCACTGCAGAAGAAGGCCATGAGAGGCAATATATGAAGACAGTGATTCGTCATCAGACACAGATGAGGACAAGCTAATGATTGGGAGTTTTGACAGTGACGAGGAGTTGTATGAATTTTATGATGAATAAAACTTGAGTTCAATAACTTTATGTAATACAATTTTTTTTTCAAATTTCGGGCCCCAAAATTAAGGTGCATCTTATACATGGGGAAATACGTTAAGTGGCAGAGCCAGGATATAAACCCAGGAAGACTGGCCCCAGAGCCTATATTGATCTTACCCACTGTACTATACATCTCCCAATATAAGATTTATATTGAAAGTTACTAATAATTTTCTAATGGTGAATACATCACTTCTATTGAAATAACTCACTTGTCTTTAGATTCCGGCATTTGACAAACTTTTGGAAAAGCAAAACGAAACAAACACCTGTATGAAAAAATAAGAAAAAATCATGCTTAGGAAGAAACATGTGAAAGAAAATACATAAGTTATTAACCTTGACTGCCCCAGGAGGCAGAAGTGAGAAAAGAGAGGGTAAGGAGCAATTAGTTTTATTTTATTTATAAATCTTTGCATTGTTTTAACAGTTGGAATGAAAGCATACCAATTTGTAATTTTGGAAGAGTAATTTAAATAATTTAAAAACAAATGTGTTGCTTATGACAAATTAGTAAATAGTCCCACAGTTTATAGCATTGCCCCAAATCACCCGCTAGAACATCAAGGCATGGTATACAAGTCTTTAAATTTTTCTTCCTATAATGGAACCTGGAACTGGCCTTTGGGTTCCACATAAACTTCAATGATTATTCTTTGAAGCGATCTAGCAGCATGACAAACTGACAAAATAAGATAGTTTGTGAAGTTTCAAACCCTAAAAATCTTTTTAAAAACACCACCTATCCTGAATGATTTTAGAGATTTATCTGACTGAAGGCATGCAACTATCTCAAGACTCCTTCTGATACTTTTATTTCTATGACTCCATTTCCCTTCAGACATGTGGCCTCAAGTGCATTTGACCAACAGGAAAACTAATATAGAGCCTTCTGGTTTCCAATTTTTTCCATGCCGTATTCTCAGTCACATTATTAGGAATTATCATGTCCTGACCTCACCTTCTGCTTCACTACTGTATATAAAAGTTCCCTTTTCATAAACCATTTACCTTGCTAAAAAGAGAGAAGGGGGAAATCAGGTTTAACTGATATCTTTTTTTTTAACTTTAAGCATCAAATTTCCAATGACATTTTTTTACAGAAATAGAACAAACAATACTAAAATGTGTATAGAACCACAAAAGACCCCAAATAGCCAAAGCAATCGAGAAAGAACAAAGCTGTAAGGATCACACATCCTGATTTCAAACTATACCACAAAGCTATAGAAATCAAAACAGCATGGTACTGTCATGAAAACAATCACACAGACCAATGAAATAGAATAGATAGCCCAGAAATAAATCCATGTAGATACGATCAACTAATATTGGACAAGGGAGCCAAGAATACTCAATAGGAGAAAGACAATCTCTTCAACAAATGGTGTTCGTAAAACTGGATATTCACATGCAAAGAATGAAACTGGGACCCTGTCTTACACTATTCACAAAAAAATTAACTCAGTATGGATTCAAGATAAAGGTAAGACCTCAAATCATAAAACTCCCAGAAGAAAACATAGGGAAAGAGCTCCTTGACAATCATTTTTTTGGAAATGACACCCAAAGCACAAGCAACAAAAGCAAAAATAAGTGGGAGTACATCAAACTAAAAAGCTTCTGTATAGCAAAAAAAGAAAAAAAGCTACCAACAAAATGAAAAGCCAACCTACAGAGTGCAAGAAAATAGTTGTAAACCACATATCTGGTAAGAGATTAATATCCAAAATATATAAGAAAATCATGACTCAATAGCAAACTGAACAAACAAAAAAACCCCAAATAATCTGATTAAAAAATGGGCAAAGGGGGGACGGCCAAGTGGCTCAGTTGGTTAAGAGCCAGAGCCAGTTCGATTCCCACATGGGCCAGTGAGCTGTGGCTGAGTTGAGCTGCTGCTGAGCTACCAACGGGTGACTGGATGGCTCAGCTGGTGAGAGCATATGCTCCTAACAACAAGGTTGCTGGTTCAACTCCCTCATGGGATGGTGGGCTGCACCTCCCCACACAACTTGATTGAAAGCGGCGACTGGACTTGGAGCTGAGCTTGCGCCCTCCACAGCTAAAATTGAAGGACAACTACTTGACTTGGAGCTGATGGGTCCTGGAAAAAAAATGTTCACCATCCCCAATTCCCCAACACTGTTCCCTTCCCCAATTCCCCAATAAAATCTTTTTAAAAAATGGGCAAAGGACCTGAATAGACACTTTCCCAAAGAAGACACACAGATGGCCAACAGGCATATGAAAAGTTGCTCAACATCACTAATCATCAGGGAAATGCAAATCAAAACCATAAGGTATCACCTCACACCTGTTAGAACGGCTATTATAAAAAAAGTAAAAGGTAATAAGTGTTGGCGAGGACATGGAGAAAAGGGATCCCTCGTGCACAGATGGTGGGATTGCCAATTGGTGCAGCCACTATGGAAAATAGTATGGTGGTTCCTTAAAAATTAAAAATACAATTACCATATGATCCAGCAATCCCAATTCTGGGTATATATTCAAGGGAAAAGAAATTACTATCTTGAAGAGATATCTGCACTCCCATGTTCATTGCAGGATTATGCACCATAGCCAAGACATGGAAACAAACCTAAGTGTCCTTCAATAGATGAATGGATAAAGGAGGAGTGATACACACACACTGGATTATTATTCACCCATATAAGAGAAGGAAATCCTGTCTTGTGACAACATGGATGGACCTTGAGGGGATTGTGCTAAGTAAAATAGAAAGATAAATAATAGTGTATTGTCTCACTTATATGTGGGATCTTAAAAAAAAAAACACCAACTTCATAGAAACAGTAAAATGGTGGTTGCCAGGGGCTGCGGGAGGAAATGGGAAGATGTTGGTGAAGGGGTACAAACTTCCAGTTAGTTATAAGACGAGTAAGTTCTGGGGAGCTCATGTATGGCATATAGTTAATAATACTGGACTGTGTGCTTGAAAGCTGCTGAGGGTAAATCTCAAATATTCTCACCACATACACAAAAACTGCAATTTTGTGAGGTGATGGATATGTGAACTAACCTTATTGGGCTAACCACATCACAGTGTTTCAAATAATCAGGTTGTACACCTTAAATTTACACAATGTTATCTGTCAATTATATCTCAATAAAGCTGGAAAAATTATTTTAAATACAGAACAGTTGGTAGAGTAGGCATTGACTCAGCCTGATCCCAATAGCACTATATCAGCAGTTTACTCGTATAGACTGAGAGTAAGATGAACAGAGGCAATCTCTTCCCATCCACAGGATACGGATTACTTACTTTAAAGATGTAATGACTTCTTGTAGGTTTTCTGAATATTTAGCCACACATTCCAGAGCTTTTTCTCCTGCAGCTTGTTGTCCATTCTAAAAATGACAAATATGTTAACATCTCAAAGTGATACTTACAAAATCTTATCTATATTCCTGTCCACTAAGGACAAGAAAAAAATCTAAACTTGTTCATTTTGTATTCTCAGAACTACTGCTGAATGATGGTAGAGGGAACATACACCTCGTTGACACAAACAGAGTAGGCTAACACTGACCCCTATCTGGAGACACTCCCAGCCTTGCCAACCTTTGCATCCACTACAGGAATCTTCCAGTGCTCTGTATTCCTGCTTATTATAAAGCAGTAAAACCAATCAACCCCAGGCTCTCAGATCACTCGCATTTTCAGTACCCTAATCTCCCCATAAGGTTCTGTAAATCCTTTCTTTTGTCCTCTTTTCCCACTTCGCCCCAACTCCTCCAATCCTTCCACTACGCTCTCTGAAATTCAGTTCATTTTCAGCTAGATCTCATCTGAGAAGCCTCTCCCCTGAAAGTTCCTTTCACATTCTTTCTCTAATGAAAATCTAGGTTTCACCAAGGATATAGGTTCCAGTGAGCCCTCCCAAGGGGTGGCTGTTTTTCTTTCATCTATCAGGCAATTTCTTCTCACTTCCTGATGACTTATGTACTGCTCACAGGTATTTTCTCCAAAAGCTACTCATGTCTTAATTTGTGGTATTTCCAATACAGACAGATGATCCTCCTAATATCCTAGTTTCTTATTTCCTTGAGTTTCACTCTGCCCATTACTTAGCCACTCACTAGCACAGCCATTCATGCGACACTGATTGCAACGTCTTGGTCTCAGGGCTGGGACTAGGGTGAGCCAGGTGACATCAATGAGGCTCCCAGGGTGTAAGATTTAAGGAGGCACTCAGCTCAGGGCTCAGGGCGTGCAAGGACCAACGGGCCATCCCGTGCATGGCCCTGTGCATGAGTGCCTCCTGAGGTGCTCCCTCACTTCCTCTGCTAGTCCTGCACCCCGCTGTTTCGGGTGTTCTACATTCTGACCACTGTCTCCTACCTTTCTAACTCACTCCCTCTATTACTGCAGCAATCTGTCAACTGCACCAATAACACCTTCAATCCATTGAGGCTACTGATTTCACTGTGCCTTATCCCCTTGATGTCGTCCTCCGTACTAGTTTAAATTCCACGGGGGTTAATTAGAACAACTCCATCGTTCCTTGATTGGCCTGCCACTCTTTTGCTTCACTGTATTCTTCTGGCAAAACCACAAGCCTGGTTAAATCCAACTTTCTACTGACTTTTGTGCCTGCCTCCATGCAGCTGAAAGTGGCTGGATAAAAACCCATACAAGCTATTTGCTTTATTTTCAAACTCCATCAAATGGTCCTTAATGCTTCCCACACTAAGCATACCACACTAGCCTTGTCATTCACTTTCTTGCTTTTCTGGATGATTACTTTACACCTTATCTTCTGCTCTCAACTCCCCACCACCTCCTTTCCCATTCTCACTCTCAGGTGACAACCTCATTCCTACTTCACTGAGAAAACTGAAGCAGTCAGGAAGAGAACTTCCAGATTCCCACTATACCACATGTACTCACATACCAAGAACCACATCACATGCTCGGCCTTCTCAACTACTATCATAGGTGAATTATCCATGTTTCTAACTAAAGCCAAGCCCTAACTGTAAACACTTGTGTCCATCACCGCTTGTTGATTTAGGGACATTGCCCTAATGATTCTCCTATTTCTCTCTCACTTGTGGACTTTTTTCTCCTCCTGGGTTATTCCCATCAGCATATAAACATTCGCATACAACCCATCTCAAACAAACCTCTCAATCCTACTTCTCTCACCAAATACTGCCCGATTTCTTTCCTTCCTTTTGTAGCAAACTCCTCTAAAGAACTGTCTATACTTACTATATCTGATTCCTTTCTTTCCATTCTTTCTTGAGCCTACTCTGATCAAGCTTTTGCCCTACCACTCTACCAAAACTGTTCTTTTCAAGCTCACCAATGACCTGCATGTTGTACATTCCAGTGGTCGATCCTCAGCCCTCATTTTATTTGAACTATCAGTAATAGTCAACATAATTGATCCCTCCTTCTTCCTTGAAACACATTTGGCTTCCAGGACACCACATCATCCTTGTTTTCTCCTACCTCATGGGGCACTCCCTTTCATTCTCCTTTGTTGGTTCCTCTTATGTTCCCCAACATTAATGTTTGAGGGCTCCAGGCTCAGTCTGTGGTCCTCTTCTCTACTCTATATATACTTACTCTGTTGGTGAGTGCATCCAGTCTCATAGCTTTATATATCATCTATATTTTAATGACTATTAAGCTTTTCTCTCCAACCCAGGCCCCTTTCCCAAACTCCAGTCATACATCTAGAGATATTCATACATCTCTATTTGAATGGTCTAATAGATACCGCAAATGCATCATGTCTAAAACTAAACTCCTGATTTTCTTCCCAAACTGCTCTATTTGCAGCCCTTCCTAGTACAGTTGATGGCCACTCCATTTGACGACCCAGTCTCTTTCTCTTATACCCTTCATCTAATCTATCAGCAAATGCTGTTCATCTTACATCTAAAAAAACAAAACAAAACCTAGAATCCAGCCATTTATCATTTATCTCCATTGTTATCTTCCTTATCTGAGTCACCATCATCTTTTCCCTGGATTACTACAAAAACTTCCTAACAGGTCTCCTTGCTTCTACCCTAGCTCTCTTCCGGTCTAGTCTCAATACAACAGCCAGAGTATTTCTGTTAAATGAAAGTCAAATCATGTCACTGCTGTTAAAAACCCTCTAATGAGCCCCCATTTCATTCAGAGTCAGAGTCAAAGTCAAAGTCCTTTCACTGGTCTATAACGACTTACATAATCCAGACTCTCCATTACCTCTCTGACTTCATCTCTCATTAGCCCCATTTCACCCTAACCATACTGGCTTCCATGTTGTTCCTGGTACCTACCTTAGGGCATTTGTACTGGCTGTTATCTCTGCCTAGAATACTCTTTGCCTTCACTGCCCACCCCTGTATATCTACAAGGTTAATGTCCTCACCAATTTTAAGTATTTGCACAAATGTCATCTTCTTAATGAGACCTGTCTTCACTACCCTATTTAAAATAACTCTCGGGCCAGCCAAGCGGCGCGTTGGTTAAGAGCTGGCTTGGGATGCCAGAGGGCCCCAGTTCGGATCCCACATATGAGGGCCAGTGACACTGCCCTCTGCAGCTAAGATGCTGAACA